CCCCTGGAGCCCAAGCCTGACCCCAGTGTCCCCTGTCAGCCCGGGACTGGAACCCAGGGAAGCCTAAAGCCCCCCTTGCTGCTATAGTGGGGCAGAGAAGGACACAAGTAGCCTTGCTCTGAATTGCTCCCATTGGGTGCTTCCAGATGAGCATGGACGTTTGGTTCCCTAAGGACAATGGGAGCAGCACAGTAGGGGATGCTGGGGCCAGGACTTTGCTAGCCCCAGAAGCCTTACCTGGGGTCCTGTCAGGGATGCGGCCACAGTAATCCTACTGGGCAGAGCCTGGCTGGCAGCTGCAGTGCAGCACTGGATGCCCCAGCTCCGCTTTTCAATAGCACATGCTCCCCGAGCATGCGCTACTTCAGGGTTTTTTTCCACATTTTTTTGACCCCTGGATATCACCTTTGCTCCCATTGGACATGTCCACACATGCAGGCATGTGCATTTGCAGCAGCTCAAATAGAAGTGGCACAAATTTTAGCCACAGCTTTTTGCCTTAGCACTCATGCCTGGACATGCATTTTGGTGTGGAGAAATTGTGCCACTTGGGACAAAATAACACTGCCTGACTCCTCCCAGATTTGCAGAGACACCTGCACTTCTGACCAGCTGCCAGTCAGCTGTGGTTGCACAGTTGGCCTTTGTGCAGTACTACTGCCATGTGTGCCACCACCCAGCCATCTGGGCAGCTATCACCCAGAAGAGGTTCTCAATGTGGTGGCCTGCTTTGAACTGTCAAAGCACGTCCTCCAGGCCCTAAGTGTCCAGGAGGTCAGCCACGTCCAGCTGGGTCACAGGTGCCAGCTCTGAGCAGACTCCTCTGCCTGGGTCCTGCCACTTTTCTCACTAGCAGGAATTCTGGTGTTCCCTATTTTAAAACTGCAAAATCCCTGATAAAAACTATCCCAAAGTCACTCTTTAAAATACACCAAAATCCAAGTTCTTCCACAAGTTAAACAAGAGACCACTATACACACACACACACAAACACACGCACACACACACAGAGACAGCGAGAGAGAGAGAGAGAGAGAGAGAGA